ATTTGGCCAAATCGGCCATAAAAATCGGCCGGGCGGGCTCGGTGGCGCCTAGTCGGGCCTAGGCGGCCTCGGCGACCTCGGCGGGACTAGGCGGCTGAGGCGGGCTCTAGGCGGCCGAGGCGGGTTCTAGGCGGTTTTTACAATTTTTTTTTTATAACTAAATGCATTTAGTTTAAATAATAAATCATTAAATTTTATAATTTATTATTTTATAATTTTTTATATTTATCTTATGTTGTGTAATTTAAAACGTAACATGTAGATAATGTGTTTGATAAAATTACAATGAGAAGAAGTTATATTGTGGTTATGTACTTATTTTGACTTGGAGTTTTTTTTATAATATAATATTAATAATATTATTGGGACTTAGGTATATGGATTTATTAATTATAAGTTATAATTTTATTTGTGAAATTGTAAAAATAAATAAAAATAATATATTTATTATAATTTCTAGGCGCCGCCTAGGCCCCGACTAGGCGCTCTAGGCGCTAGGCGCTGGTCGGGCGCCTAACGACTTCTAGAACACTGAATTTATATGTATATATCTATATGCATACCTTCATAATAAAGATTAAGTTATCTATCAATTAAGATAATTAGATTATTTATTAATTAAAATAAACTTATCTATCAAATTTCGTATCCTATGGATTAAGAAAATAGTATAATAGAGAGTGGTAAATTGCATAAGTTTTAATTATACATATTAGTATAAATTTGTAAGAATTAAAAATCAAAATTCAAAACAAAAATATAAGATATACATTTTTTATTAGGAATTCAAACAATACTAGTACAACACCCGTGTATTACACGGGTGCTTGTTAATTTTTTCTTAAAATATAAAATTAGTGAGAAAAAATAGTTGAATATTTAACTATCTTTTATAAAAATATATATATTATTATATATTTAATTTTAGTATGATACTGTTTATTTGTGCAACTTACATGTGTTATATTATAATAATTTTTTAAACTAACAACATATAACTACATTAAAAATAAATATATCAATTGAAAAATAATTTTATTTTTCTAATGAATTTTAGTAAATATTATTATTTATTATTATTATAAAGATAAATATAATTTATTTATTTCATATATACAATATGGATGTCAAATCGAAGATCATCAAAAGATGATTATTTTGATATATTATATATATAAAACCGATAAGAAATACAAAAGTTATCAACTTTTAAAATACATTTATAATTCAATAGCTAATTTAAGGAAACAAATCAAAAGTCAGGGATATATTAGTCACTTAATGCCTCAGTATGTAAATTACAATGAAATAAAAGGTTATATTAGTACAAGTGATATTAAAATACCTAAGTTAGCTAAATTATATTTATGGAATGTCCAAACCTAAATTATTAATTATTAATTATTAATATATCAATATGATTTGTCTAAACTTAATTACGAACCATGATTCTTTGCTAAGTAGGATTCGGAAGGGAATATACATTTTTTATTAGGAATTCAAACAATATGGATATCTTAATTCTATGTGTTAGCAGTCAGGCTCAGTCCATACGTTATATTGGGCTGGGTTTTATTATTCTGGGTTCTCTTTATTTTGTCCAACCGTATAGCCCAACCGCTGACCTCGTGTAATCCAATAAATTATATTTGATGATATTTTTTTGAAATTGAAATGAATAAGAAAAATAATCCACTGTCCAATAATATACAATTTCATGATTCTCGAGTAAAACTATATAAAAAATGGATTTAGACAACTAATGATCAAATTTGTTATTTTGTTTTATTCGAACTTTAGAATAGTGTTCAATTAATAGTCACGCACGGGGCACCAGTTTGTCGGCTCAGCTCGAAGCCTTGGGGGCTTTTGGCTTTGATCGAGCCTCAAACCTTGATTGCGAATTTGGACATCGTATAAGAATACTCACTAATAAGTCTGTAAATGAGTCGAGCGGAGCATAATTTAGCTCATTGAACAAACGAGCCTGAAATCGAGCTCGGGCTCGACTCATTTATCGCTAATAACAAGTCAAGTTTGAACCTAAACGAGCCGATCTCGAGCTTTAATGAGTCGAACTAAAACAATTATATAAAATTTATCTTTCTGAGTCTTAACGAACCGAGCCGAGATCGACCTGTTAATCAAATGAACTTTAATTGAACTCGAGATCGGCTCGTCTATCAAACGAGTTGAGCCAAATTCAAGCCTTAAATTCGAGTTCAAACTGAGCCAAGCCAGACTCGTTTGATTTAACAAACACTGCTCGCTAATAACATTCATCGACATGCCTAGAAACTTAGTAGATTCACAACATTATATTTTCACCAATATTTTTTCGATATTTCTACCCTTTTATACTCTTTCCCACCAATATGTAACACCTTTGTTGGCCTAAAATAGGTAGTATATGTCACAGAAATTCTATGGAGCATTCAAGTGGTTTTCTCATATAGAGTCATCAATCACTAGTATATGTTAAATACACCATTAATGAATAAGTATGGATGACTCCATAAGTCGAATCATCCGATGACTCCATAACAGAACTGGTATATGTTATTATCAACAAATTAAAAATAGGTGCACAATCATTTACAATTGCGCGTCCATTTCAAAATTAATTACTCACCTAATTAATAGTTTGTTGTAATATCCTATGCACAATTAATATCGTTCGTCTAAAGTGTGATTGCTATAGATTGATTGATGAGGTCGTGTTAAGATTCCCAATATCATATGGATTTCTTATACATGACAAGTTCATCTTTTATTAGTGAAGAAGTATAATCATTCTTGTCTAAGGTTTAGTAAATTAGATATTATTGTGTGAGGTAAACTAACTGTTAGACTAATTGACTTGTTATGTTTTTTTGAACAAAAATATATACTTAAATTGGTTTTTGAACAAATATCAATAATTTAATTTATATTGATTTTTATGATGTATGTTACTCGTGTATGAAAGTATTCGTTTTTGTTAAAATGTATAATTATCTAGCAAACTTTTGAAAATTAATCTATCTTTTGGAGATTTGCATTCTAAAAATATCTAAAAATGATATGTTATGTTATCTAACTTTTATACAGGTGGTCTCTGTCATGTTCTCGTCGTATTCTCTGAATAAAAATACATGTTAAGAAACACGATTTTTATTCTATACACAAAACTAGAGTTACAAATGAACTCGAGCTGCGAACAAAATTATATTAGAAATTCTGAAAACTACGTAAAAATTTTCGTTTATCGAGTCTAACGAATTATATTAGAAGTTTTAAAAATTACGTAAAAATTCTCATTTTTCAAGTCGAACCGAGCCGAATCGGCTAATGGGTGTCATTTTTGTGCAACACTTCTTCAATTATGTAACCCAAATCAAACAACAACACACAATTTTCTAAATTCTAAAAATTCACACAAAAAGGACAGATGCATTTGCAGAAGAATTAGATAATTTCACAGTTGTTGTACACTAAACAACGTAGGGCCATCAAAATTAAGACCCTTATTACAGTTAAATATTTAATTAATTAGCCAATTAATAATCCAACTACTACCCACTAATTCCCGTTGACTGCTTGACCATCAATTGCCGCTGCTGACGTGGACGGCACCCCGTCTGCTTTCATCTTACGATTCCGGTGCCGGAACAGGAAAACGACGCCGGAGACGACCAGCAGAACGCCGCCGGTCAGCCCGCAGACCCCGCTCGCCACGAGCAGGCCCAGCCGCACGCGGTCTCTCCCGGCGCCGCGCGCCTCCCTGCCGGCGTCGGATCCTCCGCGCGAGCTCCACCACGAGTCGCTGATGTTCCTCGCCTCCGGCAGCTCCACAGAGGAAGATGCCGTCCCCCCGAAGAACGACAGAGTTCCCCGCGCGTCGTCGTTCTGCTGCGGCGGGGGAGACGGCGAGGTCTCCTGGTAGGCCAGGCCGTGGTCGGAGGGGCGGAGGTCCCGTCCACCGCAGACGGATGCTAGGGCTGCGAGCGCGACGACGCCGTATTGCAGCAGGTTTCGCCCCATTGTCGATCGAATTTAGGGATTTGGAGGACTGCGAGGGCGGGTTTTGATGTGAAGTGAGTAATTAATAGACCATCTGTGTGTGGGTTTTATGAGGAAATGACAAAGGGGAAGAAAATGGTTGTACTCTGTGCTCGGTCTGTTGTACTGCATTTTTGTAGTGTAGTGTAGTGGAGTGTAGTATAGTTTAGCTCGGCACTAGTAAACGAGTCGAATCAAATTGAAGTCGAGCTAGACTTGTTAACTAGCTACATTAATAAACGAGTTTGAGCTTTATTAATCCATTGCCCAAAATTAATGATTTGAATTTGAGCTTTAACCGACCGAACTGATCTGATAGTTTAGAAAGTTACGTACAACGTCTACTTCTCAAGTCTAAAACACAGAGTCGCGCTCGACTCGTTAAATAATCAGGTTATGTTCACATAAAAACCAATTAAAAGATTTTGTTACCTGTCACCACCAAAATTCCATTTGGCCCTTTTCTCTTTTGTGTGGAATAGTTGCATGTGCAACCGCAGTACTATTCTATTCTTTCATTTGGAAGTTGGAACAAACTTTAAACGAAAAAAAAAAAAAACAAAAACAAAGGCCAAATAAAGGAAAAGGTAAAAGGGAATAATTTTATCAATACCTTTCTTTAATGGAAAGTACTAATTATCGGATTAGGTTGAATTTTTGGTTACTAATTATTTATAGTATAAGAAATCCTAAAAATGGGAAACAGAATAATTTATATATAAGAAATATAAAAATAACTAAAGTACTAAACTATAGGAAATAAAGAGAACAATTAAATAAAATTAAATAAAACATAAATTGTTAATTTTCATGTTTTTCTAGAACTAACGCTTATTTATAAGGGGAGGGAGTACAACATTTACGAGACAAAAATATGTTAAATTAATATATATATATATCGTAGTATAACCAAAAAAAAAAAAAAATATTTTAAATATTGGTATATATTATTTAAAAATTAAGTTATTAGTTTTATTTATAATGATGTTCTAATTTATTTTTTAATAACAATAGTTTACATTCTTTAATTTAACCAAAAAAATATATCAAGTAATAACAACTAGTACAACACCCGTGTATTACACGGGTGTTTGCTAAATTTTTTTTCATAACATTTAAAATTAATGAGAAAAAGTAGTTGAAAATTTAAATATATTTTATAAAAAATATGTTATTATATATTTTAATATGACATTTGTTACTTGTGCGACTTAGCTTTGTTATATTATAATTTTTTTTAACTTATAATACATAACTACACTAAACATAAATAATTTTATTTTTCTAATTAGTTTTAATAAATAATTTTATTACTATTATAAGGATAAATATAATTTATTTATTTCATCTATATGGATGTCAAAACGAATCTCATCAAAATATGATTAATTTGATATATTATATATGTAAAACCGATAAGAAATATAAAAGTTATTAATTTTTAAAATACATTTACAATTCAATGGTTATAATAGGAAATGATATTAAAATACAATTAATACATCTAAAATGAACATAAATATATCAACATATTTATGTACTCCGAACCTAATTATTTTCGGATTGAAATTAAATTAAAATCTATCCAAGCCAAATAATGAAGCATGAAATTTTGACACCTAGGATCCTGAAGCATGCGAGTTTGCCACTTAGGCTCAGCATATTCGGGAATTGTATATAAGGGATTTCATAACTTTTTCTTATATTGCAATATGGTCACAATAATGTATGTAGGTTTCCATTTTCCAGCTAACTAGTATTCGACCTGTGCATTTGCACATATATATAAATAAAGTATTGTGAGTTATTCGTATGCATATAATGATTAATGATTTTTGCCAAATTTACAATTAAAGGAGTTGAAATATTTATTTTTTTAAATTGCATTTATCATGTTGGATGTAATGTATATTTTGATATGTATCTTTCTTTGTGAATTATTTCTTATTTATTTAGTAATTTCAAATACGTTTTTTATTTTTTAAAAGAAGTTAATTTAAGTGTAATCACAATAATAACATATAATCACGATAAATAGTCAACACATTATATGGTTAGCTGTAAGTAAATCAAAATTTAAAATGATTTTTTGTAATTTTGAAGTGATCAGTATATTGATTATATAATAATTAAATGAGAGGTTAAATAAATTAAAAGTAACGCTTTTGGAGGGAAAAAAATTTATTGCCACGTAGGTATAATTTAATAGGTTTTATTAAATGCTCATAAGCCAACAATTATATATATATATTGGCCCACACCAGGTCCAATATAAGGACCCAAAACTAGCATTGCTCAGACAAGTTTAGCTCATCTCGGTGAATGCTGATTGGCTGAGTTGGCCAACTTGGCTCGCTTTTTGTTAACAATAGCAGTATAAAATTGTTGTCATTGTTGGATTTTTTTTTTTAAAAAAAAAACTACAAAAATAAATTGCACTATACAAATGTACAATTCGATAAGCCACCTGGCTAAATACAAGATCAAAGACCAAAGAGAACTGCACCACACTGGTGGCCTAGACAGCCGAAACAACAACCAAAACCTGA